AAAAAAAAGAAACTGAAAGCAATACAAGTCACAAAGGAAGAAGTAAAACTGCCTTTATTTGCACAGTATGATCCTGTAAGTAGAAAATCTTAAGGAGTATATAAACATACAAATATCCATAGCAGCATTGTTCTTAATAGCTAAAAACTGGAAACAATCCAAATATCCAGCAATTGGTGAATGGATAAACAAAATGTGGCATATTCTTTAAAATGGAATACTATTCAACACAAAAAAGAGGTCAATTATTGATACATTCTACAACATAGACAAATGTCAGAAACCTTATGCTAAATTAAAGAAGCCAGACACAAAAGCCTGCATATTGAGTGATTTCATTACGGAATTTTCAGAAAAGACAAATCTATAGAGACAGAAAGTGGTTGGCTGAGGTGGTGGTGAGAGAGAACGGACTATAAACTGTCAGGGGGAGCTCTGTGGAGTTGAGGGAAAAGTTTTTCAACTGGGTTGCAATGATGATTGCATAACCTTTTTCATTTATAAAGAATCACAAAATTTTACTTAGAATGAGTACTTTTATAGCAGAAAACGATACTGCAACAAACTATTTAAAAATTGGCAATAAATAAGTGCAATTTAACTGAAGATTTGTGGAGATTTACCACAGCTAGAAGGGAGACACTAGGTGTTCTACTACAGAATAACCACTAAAAAGCTCAAACAGTAAAAAATCTTGTCCTTAATGTCCCAAGGGAACTCTACTAGATTCCAAGGGCAAGAGAATTATAGTTTGATAGTTCCCATATGAGAAATGGCTCCTGATTCCAATGGCCTACCAGTGAAACACTGTACAATGACCATCCTCAGTGTTATGGCTGCATCTCATTCCTGCTAAAAGACAAAGAGATAAAATACAGGATTTCAGCAGCTTAATCTGACAAAGGAAAAGAAAATGAGCCTATATTAGCCAGCTCAGTCTGACATAGCAAAATATCATGGACCAGCTGGCTTCAACAACAGAAATTTATTTCCTCACAGTTGGAAGCTGGTGTCAGGTTTGGGTGGGGGCTCTCTTTCTGGCTTGCAAACAGTCACCTTCACATCAGAGAGAAAAGAAAGAGAAGGAGAGAGAAGAGAATGCAAACTAGTGTCTCTTTTTATAAGGGTTACTAATCTCATTACGAGGGCTCCACCATCATGACCTCATCTAAATCTAATGACCTCCCAAAGGCTCCATCTCCAAATACCATCACATGAGGGGTCAGGGCTTTAATATACAAATTTGGGGAGAACACAATTCAGTCTACAGCAAGGCCTTTAATCATAACTGTTAACTAAAAGTTCTTTTTTCCCAACTGTCCAGAATGAATTGAAAAAAAAAAAAAAAGTTGATTTTTTTCCCCCCTCTATATCCAAGGACATCTATGCTGCTAATATTCTCAAGCCCTGCTGGAACTGTGTTCTATATCTGAACAAAATTCCCTTCCCTTTTCTGGCCCAAGAAACAAGTATGCCATTTTTTAAAGTTTTATGTAGACATGGAAACAGACAGGACTAACAGTACCTAATTATACTTACCACTTCTTTCTGTGTCAGCATATTTTTTGCCCTGGGCTTCCAATTTGAAGGTGGGGTGGGGTAGGGAGAACCAAAACATTTTTACTGCATTTAAGCTGTTTCTGGGTTCCTCTTAACACATTTCAACCTATTAGTGACTATTCTAACAAAAGATTAACATCCTTTCCTAAACATTTCAATTGGTTAAGAGCTTCTGTTGTTTGCTACAAGCAGTCATTTTCAGTCATTGATTACAGCAGTTTGCAGATCAGCAAAATCAGAAGTCAGTTTCCTTTCTCAACCAGCTGGGCTTACAAAGCAGTCATGAAGACAGCTCAATTCAAGGACAACTAGGAGAACCAAGTACAATGCCCTGCATGACAGTGATCTACTATGCACCGTGAATTACAGGCAATGAAGAAAAAGAACCAAACTGCCAGAAGTACTTCAACAGCTCTCTGCTTCACCAATCACTCTCATTAGCACTTTTTGCAAGGGTGAACATCAACAGCAAGCTGGATACCACACCCTTTTCCCAGAGAACCCACGATTAATTCTGTGTCTCCAGCAGGGCCACCTGTGAGCACCCGCCTGGCTGCACTGCTGGTCGGGTCATCAACGCAAGCCCGCGGGTCACCACAGGACATGCAGGCTTGGATGAACTGCGTTCTTCTAGCTGTTCTGACACAGGGGAACCATTCATGTGAGCTCCACATTTTCAGCCCGAGAGAAAAACATCCTTTCTATTTTTAACATAAAAAAACTAAAAAAAAAAAAAAAAAAATACTCAGCAAGTTTAAGACAAGCAACTTTACCACCTGGCATGAGAAAACAAAACACTGGGAGACTGAAAATGCTGTGTGTATCACACATAGGTGTCCTTTAATGCTCTCAGGAAGAAATCTCGGTGCTTACTGAGAGAGTTTACCTATTAGCAAACAGTTTTTGATTTGCATGCTCTCATTTTTAACATACAGCTAGGCTACAATTTACAAGAGTCATACTCCGTAATTAGAGATACTCTGATCCACAGATTGACAGGAATTTGAAAAGATGTTAGAAGCTGAGTAAGAATGGACAGGAGACTTTTAGGACAAATATGAAAACTGAAAACACTTACTTATAAAGTGTTTGTGTGTGTATGCTAGTCTTTGACTTTTATGTCATGTCTTTTTCTATTTTTTCTTTTTGTCTTCAATGATTTCATTGGAATTATTTGGTTAATGAGTTTTATTACATTAAACTGGAAACTTCAGAGCAGTTGTGTACAATGTAATGCAATGTAAGCAACCAATGGAGATGTTTAAGGCCACAAAAGGCAACAACTGGCTCTTGAATCTGATCCACACATTTGCAATAATCTGTGGAAAGTCATCTCAACCATTCTGGGCCTAAAACCATGGGCCACATGGAAGATGAACAAGACCCTAAGAGTCACTGATACACAATTATCACATCAAATTATAGCATATCTTTCCAGTAGGGGTCCTTTACAATTCCAAATAAACTTTAATTTTAAAATTCACATTGATAAGTGAGGTATAAATTAAGCATGGATCATCAAGTTTTAGAGTTTAACAATTTAAAACTAGTCAAAAAGAAGGTCAATGAAGGACAAGTAAAATATTTAATAAAAAATATAAAAGTATAGACTAAATCTCTAGAATCTGTAATCATGTATTTTCTCTCATGATTACATGGATCACTGTTGTTTTGGGGAAAGCTAATAAAGTATGTCAAATTGTTAAAGAAACTTTTAAAGGGCTAACAATACTAAAAATTTTAGTTCTGTTTGTATTTAATATCCTTTTTTCAAGACGTTTAAGGTACTTAACAGAAGCTTTTTTTCTTTGTTATTTTCTCTGTGCAAAACAGATAAAGGCCATATTTTTTATTTTCTTATGTTTATCTAGAAAGGGGTATGATAGGTTATATAATTCATAGCGAGGATTAATAAACCATTAACAAAAGAAAATACATAAAACACACACATATGGGAATTTTTTCCCAGATCCCTTAAGAAACTTGGATTGAGAACCCAGAGGTTAGACTACATTCATGGTAGAAAATCATATGAGTCAGTGCTCTACTCACAGAGTTGAAAGAAATTATTTATTTGATTTTGCTGAATAATATAATTTCATTACTAGTTGCATTGATAACATTCTGCTTAGTTTTGGGCAATCCTGCAGAAGTAAATTTTAAGAAATGTCCTTTAAAATTGGAAGGATGTTGTTTGATATATGAGACTAAGAGGTTGGAGAATGAAGATGGCAGACTAGAGGATGAGACATGATTCCAAACAAAGTGAGAGGAAAAGATGTGAGAATCATGAAATACCTCAATGGCCACAGAATTGAGTGATCATCATCTACCAAACGGCTGTGCACGTTACACTCACTGCAAATAAATCTGATGTTAGATATCAGACCCCAAATAGGAGTCCATATCACTCCAACTTAGGATGTTTTAGATATCAGACCCCAAATAGTAGTCCATACCATTCCTACTTAGGATGTCTTTTCTTGATAGGATTGCTTTTTAAGCAATCATGCTCCCGTGAATTCAGTTTGGTGGAACAGAGCTCGGCTACCTTGTCACTACTCAGGGGTCTCCGAGAACTGTGGACTCAGGTTCTCTCAATAACTCACAAGTGCACATAACAGACATCACAGATGATGGAACTGATGGGCTTATGGATACTGTGTGAGGGAAACAAACCCACCTTCACAACTGAGAGATGATTATTTTATACAGAGAATAAAGAACAACAATTTTCTATTGTAAAACTGTAGTAAGAGAATGGCAGGTGGCTAGCAAGGAAGGGGGAAAGCTGGACCAGAAAGAGAAGGGCACATAAGAATTAAAGACATCTCATAGAAGCATCAACAGCCAGAATGAACATGTTCCTGGGGTTCGGTGTTACTTGCTCTATGTCAGTAAGCTTAGGACAAGGAACATCGCTTACACTAAAAACCAGAAAAGAAAATGTGTGTTGCTGACTGCTCATGTCAGGCGACAGGATCACAAAACTCTATTTGAGTTGAAAGTTTTGGATGACTCTGCTATTGGTTCAAGGGCAAAGGAATTACACCCGTACTTTAGTTTATAACAAAAGTTAAAGGGCCAAGCTCTAACAAAGGGTAAAACTACCCATTATTAATCACACTTTTGGCCACTCATTTAAAAAATAGATATACAGTAGAGAAGAGAAGGACTTCTGCCTCCCCTGCCCAAGGCAGAGATCTCTAGAAGATCAAAACCAGGGAGGTAGCTATAAGTTTGGGGGAGTTCTTCAGGCTTACAAGTGAGTCTTGGTGAGTCTTGGCTCACCAAGACATTTTCAAGTAGAAGGACACGGGAGGTAGAAAAGGAATGAAGACATACAATTTCTGAAGCTTGAAGCAAGAAAGGAGAGCCAAATGAGGACCAGGAGACAGAACTAACTGCTAACAAGTGGGCAGTCCCATTTTTTTTTGCAGCTCAGCAGAAAGTCTGCTTTTGTGAGGTCACTGGAGATCTCTGACTGACCAAGTTCCGGAATGAGGTCCAGAGGGACATCCACCATCACAACACTACAGTGTGCTAGGACTCAGTCACCTTCACCAGGGAAGAACAGTCTACCGAACAAAATCCTAGCGGTGGGCACAGGTTTGAGATGCTTGACCTTGTAATGTTTAAACAAACAAACAAAAAAATGGCATAGGAAAGGAAGGCATTAGGAATCAGGAGAAATAGTACTGCTAAGTAGAAAAACCCAGTATTTGAAGGACAAATGGATTTGAATCCCTGTGTGATTCTGGGGGGAAGTTCATTTCTTCCAGTTTTACAGATCTTCCTCCTGTAAAATGGGAATAATGATAATACCTATTGTGACCTATGGGCTTCCTAGGTGGCTCAGTGGTAAAGAATCTACCTGCCAATGTAGGAGATGCAGGTTTTGATCTCTGGATTGGGAAGATCCCCGGGAGGAGGACATGACAACCCATTGTAGCAGTCTTGCCTGGGAAATCCCACGGAGAGAGGAGCCCGACAGGCCAGAGTCCGTGGGGTCACAAAGAGTCAGACAGGACTGAGCATGTACACACTGCGATCTATATGCCATCGAGGGGTCACCTGCCACTGTTATTTTCACAAGACTTCTTTAATCCCCATTAGCTTAGGAAAAACAGTGTTTTCCTAAGATGTAAGCAAGTTCTCAAGAATTTACTCTCTCAAGACCTCTTTAGACTCTGGCATCTGGCGTTCTCAGGAGCTTTCTCTGCTCTGTCTGAAGTTAACTCCAGACCCAAAATTCTGCCTCCTCACCAACTTCCCCAGGCAGAGCACTCAAGCCAAGCATCCCAGAGTTTTACCAACACTGAAGAATACCCTCAGTCATGAGTTGAGAATATACTATAGAACACTGTGCCCTTATGCAAAATCCATTCACTTCCTCTCCTCTTACCTGTTTCTCCTCGTTCCCTCCTCTCCTGAAATAGCTTGTTTTTCCACTTCTATGGTGCCAGCAGCTTCCCTCTTCTCTGAACCCTACCACTGTCCCCTAACCTTACTTTTTGTCTCAATTATCCCACAAAGCAATCCTGCAGTCATGTGAGCAAGTAGAGAAAATATTAGAGCTTCAAAAACTGGTATCAGAATTGTCTGAAAAAAATATTTTTATTGGGAAAATCCTTTGATAAGTACTTGGCCCCCAGGGGAACACAGATTCAGTCTCTACCTCAAGTCTCCTTTCAGCTCACGGGCCCTGACGCTGGGTAGCAGTAATGAATACAACACTGTTATATACACCAGGCTGTAGGATTACAATTGCCAGTGCCCACTTGTTAAAGGCAAATGAACAGGAACCGGAATGCAATCAAGTGAATGAATGTCAGTCCGAGACCCGCTATCCATCCCTTCAAGTTGCTTTAGTATCAGCTCAAGACTAAATGGAAATCTAGGTTTCATCTGATAAGAAAAATGTGAGGATGTAATCAATTTCAGAAGGATCAAATCTAAGGGCAGGAATAAGGTCTTTCTGAGATTACTGTCAAGAGGCTCAAACTCTTAGGAGCAAATAAGAATTCTGTCTCAGAAAAAATGGGAGGATATGACACAAAAATGTTTTATTCCCAGAGAACTTCAGAGAAGTGGAACTAAAAGCTCCAGGATTCCAGCCCACTGTTTTCCTAACAGAGAGACCTATGAATTGGCTCTTCTCTGTTTAAAAGACCAGTGCTAAATTTCCCTTCCTGTGCTCATACTGTGGCCTCGGTGAGCTTACCAACAAAGGACAGTCACAAAGATCTACCAGGAAAGAAAATCGTTCTATAAAACAGTGTAACAAAGGTGACAATTATTAGCCTAGACTTAAATCACATTAACCTGACTAAATAGTTTTCCTCAAGTGCAAAGCCCATGGCATCTCTTACCTTCCTCAAAGCTGGCCTTCTTCTGCCTCACTAGAACACGGAAGTTCTCAGCAGGATTCACGCTTCCAACCTAGAACACACCCACAGACAGTAAACCTGCAGATCACTTCTCTTTTCGGAAGTACCCCAGGCAAGACAAGACAGCTTAACGTGTGTTCTTATAAAACAGGCAAAGTCAAAGTGAGGCCCTTCCTGTTCATTTTCATTTCCATGGTTTGTTAAAAACTAGCAGATTCCTGTGATCAAAGGAAATCTGCCTGTCTGTACTTCCACTCACCTCTCCTCATGCAAACTGACTTCATTCCCGAGGGGTCAGAAGCCTGATGCCCGAGGCACCAGGCAGCCTAGCTTACCAGGCAGATTACCTGTCTGTCCTGACACCCAACCAATTAGGAAGGGGAGGATGCTGTGGTGCAGGGTCAGTTCAGAGTATCTCTGTCCCACTAGGACGACACAGGAACTGATAGTCTGATGCCCTGATTTGCTGAACTGTCCTTTCTGGGGACAGCTGCTGATCAAACCTGTGGCACTGAAGTCTTGGTAGACTATTCAAACACGCCCAAAATAAACATGGCCCCAAAATAAAAACAAATCAGTGCTAGGTGGGAGAGTTTCAAACACAAAAATCTCTGCCACGCTATATGGCACTTTCTGATCATGCCCATGTCTTTCATCATCTGATCTCAACCTTAATAGGGGTTAAATTGAGCTCAAGGAGAAGACAACAGGGTTCTATAAAGGCTGGTAAACGCTGGTACAAAAGTACTCGGATTTCCAGTCTGCTCTAGTATAGCATCAGAAGAGCTCTGAGAATAAAAAACGTCATGACTTTTTTTTTTCCCTTTACTATGAAGATATTGGACTAAAATCCAAATAATTTTTTAGACATTCAGTTTTTCTGGAGCATTGCTTTTTCAGGAGGGAAAAAGGCATGCCCTAATACTAGCTACCCTTTCTAGTCTATTTGGCTAGCAGTAAAGAACAATTTTTAAGATCCACTGATTCAAAATAATGTCACTTAAAATAAGGCAATATGTTCAAGTTCCAAAAACCATTCTATTAAATAAAGAAGATCTCAAGTGTCAAACGATACATGGTTTGGGGAAATCCTAAACTAGTGAGTTGTACATCAGAAAAGAAATGAGACATTCTTAAAGCCTATATACTCGGAGATAAGACTCCTATCACTAAGCCCCCACTCATCCTACCATTGTGACTAAACAAAAAGCCGCAAAATGAAGTCACCAGAAAAACTTTACAAAAGTAATGTTTCATGTTCTATATAGTGCTGTATGTATTGATACTACATATCATATAATATAAATGTATCATAAAATACATATCATATAAATAAATCATATAGGTGATTCACTGACAATAATTAAAAGAAGAAAGGAAGAAGTGTGGGATGGACAAACATGGCTTATGTACTAAAAGGACCAGAGAAAGTGCTACATTAAAGGACTAACAGAAATTGATGCCAACTCCCCAAGTCCCAACCTTCCCCAAAGAGGGGAGCACAGCAGGGAAGTTCTGCTTACACAGGTGACACTGCCTTCGGCCAGACTGGAGATACTGAAGTGGGCATCCTCTTCCTCAGTCTTCATTTTTTTACAGGTGGGTCCCTCTTCATGACTGGAAAAGAAATAAATGGTTTTTTCCTCCCCTTAAAAACAGAACAAACAATACAAAACCCAGAACTGCTGATGTGAAAAGTATAAATTTATTTTTCAAGAATCAAAAACAAGTAGCCACACTTAAGTCTTCCTTTACAAGCAGCTGTCTCCCCTTCCCAGCCTTCAAGTTCCTGAGAGACCAACTACAGCGGCCTGGGCTTTAATTAGCAGTCGCATCACAAAGGCCTTTCAAAAGATGAAACTGCAAGCGCAGGTAATGGAAACTTCACATTTCAGCACGAAACCCATTTACCCTTCGGTTATTATTTGCTAGTTTCTGCCTGAGAGTTGATAGCTAGTAATATTAGCTTTCCAGATACATAGAAGACTTTTGTGTCTAATAACTTATCTTCTTCATCATGTATGTGAGAGTTTTATAAGCTCCTACTTACAGCTGTCAAAACTTACTAGACAATCCTTAATTAAATATGCAAGACCATGCTCTTAAAGAAGTCTTAAACTATAAAAAAATCACTTTCAAAAGAAAACTTTTAATGTGTTCCTTTATAAACCTAATTGTGTTTTGGGCAACAGTGCAAAAGCATCTGTGTGATAAGGGAAGGATGACTCCAAGGAAGTGTATCAAACATATTGCCTCAAGTAACACGCTGGCTCTAACAGTCTGCCTTAAAATCAGGAGGAGGTCAAGTTAATTGCAAAGGAGAAGAAAGATCCAAAGACTGTGCCCATAACGCTACAGAACAGAGAAACATGGAGACTTTTCTCCCAGACAAATAGTCAGTCTGGGGCAAGAGAATCTGCCAAGAAATGCCTGAATGAGAAGGGAAAATAGTAACTAAGAACTACAATTCTAAATGTGATGTTTTTATTCAAAAGCCCAACTTCCAGACAGTAAGGCTTGAAGAGGTTATCCTAAAAATAAAGCAAAGAAAAATAAGACATAAGTTAGCTTATTCAATAATATTTCAATAATGAATCTCCTCTTCGAGCCCAATGAAAGAACTAAAGTCATCGTTACAGTCTTACAAACACAAATTAAAAGTTTTACTACTTGACATCTTTCCAAACATTTACCACTTGCCTTCCTCCCTTTGAGAAGTAAAGAAAAGATAAGGAGTGAGTCATTCAGAGCTCTTTCCTTCAAGCAGAATAAACAAACAAACAAAACCTTGCTGATGAAAACAAGGGAAAACGTACAAACCTGGGGAAGCATGAAATTCTATCAGAATTTGAGTAGTTCTTTAAAAAAAAAAAAAAGTCACAGCCACTTTAGTTAACCTTTGCCAGCTCTTCCCAAGAGAAAGATGACATGGTTCAGGGAAAATCTACAGATAAAAACATCCAGGTTCTAGTCTCATGGCTACTGGCTAGCCCTGGAGTTTTATTCCTTCTTGAAGGTACTGACTGGGTACTAATTTTTGTATGTTTAGAGTCTAGTAAGTTACTGCACTCTCTGACCTTCAGTTTGTTCCTCAGGAAAACACTAAGATGAAAAATACCATGCATATATCAACTATTCACACTTTCTCTTCCAAAAGGACAAATTAACTTATACAGTAGCATTAAACATACAAAGCTAAGTGCTGTGAGAACACAAGGTCAAATCACATGGAAGAATTTCTTCAACCCTCCCAAATAAGATTCCAGGGAAGGAAGAATTAGAAAACATATATACTAATTCTCCAGAACTGGGCAGATAAAGTCCAGTCCAGTTAAGAATACATTTAATAATCTCAAGATTGAATCACTTAACAGGATTAATGGGAAATCTACATATATTAAACTTGTAATATCTATCTGAAGTGGGAAAGTGCAGTGACTCTCATTCCTAAGTTATCTATGAATGAGTTGAGCCCTGGAAAGTACACATCATCCAGGCGAGGACACGGCAGACACAAAAGTGTTAACAGCTGTTCTGTCTGGATGCTGGGGCCCTAGACAGTTTGTCGCTTTCTCTCCTTTTCTCCTTTTCTTTCATATATGAGTATATATCTTGTAGTTCATTTACAAGTACATATACCTTAGTTCATTTACTCTTAGGTTCTAGGTTCTATAATTTGTAACCATTAGCAATCTTTGTTTTATACAGAAAATTAGGAAGTAGACAAATTACCTGTCCTATCCCAGTATTCTGCAGCAGATTAGCAAATTTTATGAGTATAGCCTCTTATTATCTGTAAGGTTGGAGAAGGAAATGGCAACCCACTCTAGTATTCTTGTCTGGAAAGTCTCATGGACAGAGGAGCCTGGTGGGCTACAGTCCTTGATGTCATAGAGGGTCAAACACGGCTGAGCACCAGCATGAGAATACATAATCATCACCTTCAAGAAGTTCAGTCAAATAAGAAGGATAATATATAAACAGGCAATTAACAAAATATTGTGGTAAGCAGTGCATCCCTTTTAGAGAACAGCGAGAGGCTGTACTGGGCTGGGGTATGAGGTGCAAGCTGGGAAGTAGTGAGAGATGAAGACAGAAAATATCTAAACTGTAGGCATAAAAACTTTGAGGACACAAAGTGGTTCTCCAGTTAGCAGGATAGATACTTCTTTTTCTTCTCATTTGTGTAACAGAATTTGACCTGAAACTGAAGGTAACAGAAAGCCATGAGAGTAAAGGTTTTTAATCAGGCATCCAAGAAGCACATCAAGGAATTTGTGACCATCTAAAATTATATGCAAAATTCATTATGTTGTGGCATTTTCCTGGGGAGATGGTTCATAGTTTTTATCAGAAGACAAACGGGTCCATCACATACAAACACACACTAACGAAGAATCACTGCATTAGAGAATTTTAAGCAAGGGAGTGATGTGATGAGATTTGTTTTCTAAAAAATCACTCAGCAGATTGCAGAATGAACTGGAAGGGGAAGCCTGGAATGAGGGAAATTGGCCAAGTGGGTTATATCAGTAAAGCAGGCTAAAGTGAAACCTACATAAAAGCAATGGCAGTGGGCAATGTTAGTAAGAACACACACTTAAAAAAAAAAATGCTTACCATTAATCATGAAGCCAAGCATTTGAGTTAGCTATTATAAACTGTCCTCTTACAAATGAGCAAAAGAGCCTGACTGTCTTAAGCACAGAGTAACACAGTCCACAACTAACCGTGTACTTTTAACTACCCTCCTAAAAGGCAGGTATTTGTTATCACAGCTTGGCATGGAGCAACTTGCCAATTTTGACCACTATTAAAAACAAATGCTTGAGTTTTGATCCAAATCTATCTGACTCTAAAATCAATGCTATTAGCCACTATACTAACCTGAAGTGAAAGGAATGAACTTGAGGTAAATCTAATACAACCTGGTAAACCAATTAGATGTGGAAAGTGAAGAAAAGGGATGACTCCCTAGAAATTAGGTGTCATTCACTGAAATTGAAAATAATAACATGAAGAGGGGGCTGAAAGGAGTGTGCAAAGAGAAAGGCAATAAAATAATCTCGACATATTGACCTTGAGTTATCTGTAGACACTTAAGATTCAGTGGATAAGATGGAAATATTTTAGGATAGACAGGGATTTAGTTATTTCTGAAGACCCACATGAGAAATAATTAAGGTCTTAGGACCTGCAACACAGCATAATCCTTGAGAGTGTAAGCTCTGGGGTTGAACTACCACATTTAAATCCTCACTCTAACACTTAACCAGCTGTGATCCTGAGCAAGTTTCTTATCTTCTCTAAGCTTCAGGGTTCTCAGGGTTAAGATGGAGTAAATAAAAGAACCTACTTCATAGCGTGGCCAGGAGGATCCAAACAGATAATACACGTAAAGCTCCCAGAACATACCTGTGTCCAATAAATGTCAGCCCTTTCAGAGAAGGAGACCTACAAAATATCAACCTGAAAGACGTGTGGGGAAAGAAAAGCGGCCCCAGAGGAACCTGAGAGGGAGCTGTCAAAGGTTTAGCTGGAGAAGCTGAAGTTAAGGAAGATATATGAAGTTCAACAGGGAAAGAATAACTGACAACGTCAAGTGTTACAAAGAGGTCAAGTAAGAAAAGGACTGCCAAGCTTCAGTAAACCTAGCAGGGAGGGTCTTGCAGGAGACCAGGGGCAGGGATGTGCTGGGGGCATAAGCCTGAGCCAACAAGGGCTGGGAAAAGCGGCAGTCTGGGCTATTCTTCTAATAAGCCTGGCTGTGGAAGGAAAGAAGATGATAACAGGTAGTAATTAAAGGGAGGAAAACAGAGAGGATTACTTCATTTTCTTTTAGAGGAAAGAAATAAAATGTTAATGTGTGGAGGGAAGGGGGCTGGTACAGTGGGAGAAGCTGAAAATTACAGTGGGGAAGGAAGGAAGGAAGAAATTATTAGTGGACTGAAAGGTACCAGATAGGATGGAAGACAGCATCCGAGGACACAGGTGAAAGGATTAACTTGGGACAGGATGCGGTACCCTCCTCCACTGAGACAGGAAGAAAGGAAGTGAAGGCAGATAAAATGCAGATATGTTTTTAGGTAAGATGGGCTGGAAAACCGAGGCGTTCTGACCTATTATGGGCTTCTATTTTCTCTTTGAAATCACCATCATCATAGAAATATGTACCCTGGATACAGGGACATTGAATATACACAAAATCACAGCTTTTTGTAAGCAATCTCTCTTTCCCTTAGGGAGACCACCTCTAAAGCTGATTGGGGTTTAATCATAAAAACTGAGAATCTCTAGAACCTTGCATAAGGGACTGAGTCATTCTTGAATATACGAGGTGATCGATAAATACTTGTTAAATGTGCCGTTTCTGCAATTCTTAAAAACTAAGATTTCTGAGATGGAAGACTAGAGCAGTGGCGTGTGAGTAGGTGTGTATGAGCAAGATTATTCTCTGGTCCCAGGCAGCTCACTTGGCTGTGTGGCAAACCAAAACTTTATGGGGGCAAAGAACAAGCAAGGATCAAACCACAGAGCAACAGTCTTCAGGGTCTGGGGCTCAGTGGTGTGTTTTTCTTTTTAACCAGCTAATTTACATTTTAATCAACAGGAGGAGGGGGAAATGGCCTATTTCTTTCCCAAGACATAGGAAGGTAATCAAGATCATGAACAAGAGCTTTAAAACAGAGAGAGAATAGCCATATGACTGTTGGTAGATGACAGCAAGGCTGTCGTGGGAAGAAAAGGACTCAGAGTTTTATTGACTGTTCTGAGACACGAGGAATCCAGAGATAGCTGAGGGTAGCAGGGGGAAAGACGGTTTTTAGTGACAGTCTTCTGACGTAGAAAAAGGCACAACAGACTAAAGAGAAACATAAAATTCTCCAGATGTGTTAGAAATGCACATGATAGAATCTTTCAACCCTACGAGTTTTTTTTTTTTTTAGTCCTGACAAAGCTTGGAGTAGTAACCTCTAAAAAGCCACAGAAAATGCAAAGATTTCTTTTTAACTTGAAGATAATTCACTGAATTAACACTTTACAGAACCCTGTGAAGATTTCTGGAAATTACTCAATACTGTTCCAATCAGGTACTGACAAATAAAAACTTTATTTTGTCAATAAAGACACAGCTGTGGGAAGGAAATCAAAGAAAAAGGAAAAAATAAACTGTGATCTAAAATAGGATCTCCGCATACAACCTACAAAAATGAGTAGATTGTTTTGATCTGGGGGGAAAAGTTACCAATAATCAGACCAAAACCTGGTGAAATCAGAGTCACACACCCAAATAATTCTGGATAAGAACAGCGTAAGGTTTGTGTTCTGCTTTGAATGGAAACTGATATAATTCTAAACAGACTCCGATGTGCAGGAAAAAACACTTAATAGCTACCTGAAAGATTGATCTGAGGGCATGAAAACCATTTTACAATTCTTAATCTGTGACTACCTCACTAACGGTATGACCAAGTACATCACAGTAACAGCAGAGCTGCAGACGGCCAGGCTTCTCATTCTCCTCCCCATCTTCCTTCCAAAAATCTCAGATGTTCTCCTGAGAGCCTACCTCCAAAATGAAAAACTTTTGACTTTCACCCTTCTCCTCTCGTCCCCAGCACCTTACTTTAAAAATGGTAAAACTTAATCGCAGATATTCAATAGATCATTTATCTTTATATATATATATATATATAAAATTCACTAAGAATCTGACGCTGGTTAAAAAGTCAACAACCCCAAAGGTAGCTCTGATTTCTAGATGCACAAGCAGGATAAAACGTATCCACACTGGATTTCCAACACAAGGCTCAAATAGCAAGAGGTTTCTTTCTCCCACCTTTGTGATTCTACAAACCCAGGTTGCAATCCTTAATGACAGAGCCCCTCTAAGACCACCACCCATCTGCTGTGCTCCAACCTCAACACAACTCCACTGAGTACTTACTTATCTTGGAAAATGTCCTGACCAGTCACTTGGTTCTTCTTCTTGATGACTTCCGTCAGAGGGAAGAGGGTCTTTACTTTGGAGAGAGGAACCTGACATCTAGCGGTCACCTCGGCGGGGGGATCCAGCATACTCCAAATGTGCTGCTGGATGGGGGGCAGAGGCTCCTGGGGATGGAGAGCTCTGTGCAGGAGACACTGGGGAAGAGGAGTGCGGATTGTGAAATGCAGACACGGACACCACACACAGCTGACCAGGGATCCTCCATCTTTAGCTTGCGAGGGCTACAAGATTCCTACCATTAGTAAAAGACAGCAAAGCAGGCGGACCCAGAACCACCCTGGTTTGCAGAATGCTGGTAATGTCTAAAAGCAACCATAAAACAGATCCCAGCCTAGCAGCACCGTCAGCTGAAGCCGTCCTGGAAAACGGCTTCATCCCACAAAAAGTCTGCTGCTCTGGCTTCATGGAGGATGTATGGGGTTTCCTCAGCCTCTGACAATTTGGGAGTATAACCTTTTGGCTATAATCCTTTTACCTCCCTTCAGCATGCTGTGCTTTCTCCCTTGCACCATCTTAGAAAACAATACAAGCTGGATGAATCAGGTGCTAAAGGGTAGGTGCTCAGTGAGTCCCAGGAAGAATACTGTGCAGGAGATGACACCAGAGGTCTCTCTCAAACCTGCCCAAGTCATGCACTCACTTCCATCCACCTCTACCACAGCACTCTTGTCCAGGCACCTTCACCTCTCACATGGGCTACCACAACCCCTCTCTAACTGGTCTCCCCACGTCCACTCTCACGGCTCTCCTGTCTGGAGTGAGCCATCACAGAGCCGCTGAATGCCTCTCTCTTCCTTACTCACCACAACTCAACTAGCCTGGGCTCCTCCTCCTGCACTCAAAGACCAGCTCTCTCCAGATTTTAGGTCCCATGCGTAAGGCCCCCTCAGCCTCTTCTGCCTTCCCTTAGATCTCAGTGGAGCTGGCCCTTTTAAAATCATTCTGTTCTTTGCTCACTTATCACCTCTTCTGAGAGGCTTCCCCTGACTCTATACGAAGGAGACCTTTACCCTCATTTTACCACCCAGTCATTCTCTATCGTGAAGCTGATCTTATATTTTGTACAGTATTTACCATTATCTAAAATTACCTTATCAACATTTTAGTTTACTTATTACCTCCACTTTCCCCCTGAAGGTAGAAACACTGCTGGTCTTGTTTACTGCTGAATCCCAAGTGCTGAAAATGGTGCCCCAACATGATAAGCACCTAACAGGTACTGGCTGAGGGAATACGGTGCTCTTTTTCAGAACTCCAATTGTTGACAGAGGTTTTAGGAAGCTGCACCAGGAGT